TCATGAAGTCTCCACGTGCTAAAGGATGTCAGTATATCTCAATTTTACTGATGAGGGAACTGAAGCTTAAGGAGGCCCAGTGACCTTGCCTTGGATCACATGGGCCTGCAGGAGTTAGGGCCCAGGACTGTCATTTTTCAAGGCTGTGCACTTCTTCAAGATCTATGACAAGAAGGGTTGATCTTAGCAACCCCTCCCCTTCACGACAGTGATGCTCAACCTTGCTTGTACGTCGGAATCACTAGGGTTGCCTTACTCTAAGGAATATGAATGCTGAGGTCCATCTTCAGGGACGGTGACATAATTTGTGCAGGGTGCAGTCTGGGCAATGGGAATTTTAATGCTCCTCAGTTTATTCTGTTTTGCAGCCAGGATTGAGAACCACTGCTTTATATCAAGTTTCAGGGACTGGGGAGAGAGGGCTGGGAAGACTCGGGTATTTTCCAGTCTTGGAGCTCTGGCTTTCAGGGAGCTGTCTTTTTTTTTGGAATGGTATGTAAGGAGATCCATTAAATGCTAGATTCCTGAGGCTGGAACAGAGCTTGCATGCAGCTCTGGAAATGTAAAGCACTTGAGAAGGGAAAAAACAAATATTTGGGAGGAATGGTTGACTGAGTTGGTTCAGGACAGATTTGATGTTGGGATTTTCTGCTTTAAGAGAGAAATGTGATTGTGGATAGCTAGGTATTAATAAAGAGAGCAAAGGGAATTGGACATTGAGTCTAATCAACTGGAAAGCATAAGCCTGCTTGCCTAGCCAGGAAGCTAGAGCACTTACAGACATATTCACACACAGCAGGGGACTGCAACTGTGGAGACTTAATCCCAGGAGCACAGGAAATCTCTCCAGGGCCACTGTCTGCTCTCTGGCTCCCAGACCACCCTGGGGGAGGTCTGTCAGTCTAACTAGAGGGTGGATCTATCAGACGCCCACAAAAGCTTGGCAAGTTGATTGGTTATTTTGAAAAAACACCTGGTCCTCCCCAAGCTGAGCTAATATAATCCCAGCTGAACACACACACACACACACACACGCGCGCACACACACACACGCACGCACGCACGCACACACACACGCTCTCTGTCTCTGTCTCTTCCTCTCTCTGTCTCGGTGACACATACTCACCCTGCTCATTTGTATGTTCTCTCTCTCTCTCGCCCAGGAACACTGCAACCATGTGGATCCAGCAGCCATAAAGGTCCACAGCAGACTGCATGGCTCCAAAGAACTACACTTTCGTGTGAAACAGAAACCCTGAACACTAGCCTTTGTGTGGCCTTGCTATGAAGATATAGTCGGACTTCTTCCACGGCAGGACAGATGGAGATGGGACATTGGAAACCCAGGGGTGGATTTCCACCTAATCAATCTCACCACACCACAACCTCCTGTGCATGGTGGGTCTGTGAAATGCTTTCTCATGATCTCCTGGAAAAGCCTGATTTCCACTGTCAACAGAAGGAGTATCTATCTGTGTTTAATAATGTGATGGCCAAGTTCCACACATCTGATCCGACAAGACTATGACTAAAGGCAATGGCAGAGAGGAAAATGGCCACAGTTTGGGTGGACGATATAAAATCATCCTCATAGCAGATTTGATGAATAGGAAGAGAATAATTGACTCACTACTTAGATGCCCATTTAACTGTTGCATGTGACCCTGGGTCACTTAGCAAATTACTTTTTCTAGTACAATAAGTGGTATAGCCACTGGTGCAAAGAGTTATTTGCTTCTGAGCTATCCATTTTCTCTGCTGCTTCTCAATGCTGAATGCTTTTCTTGTATTAAAGAATAGGATTTGTTGGGCAAAATAGTATTTTAAAAAATCAACAATCTTATGGATGTTCTATAGATGTTCTCATATTTAGAGTCTTGGTTGTTTACCTATCTTTCCATCAGAAGTGAGTTCCTGATCTGAAGTAATCCTGAATAAATTAAAAATCCTTAAGGTTAGAGGAAAAAGAAGGAGAAAGGGTATGCTTTGTAAATTAATACTGGATGAAATTAGGAGCAATTTTTCATGAATGACTAAAATTATGACTGGTAAAGTGTTCCCTAAAGAAAAGGGGGGCTGTGTTTCTCGGAATGGTCTTAACGAAGATGGGTAAAAACGTGATTATCATAAAATGGTATTGAGCAGATAGCAGAATGAATTTTCTTATCTTTTTTAAGAATAGACTTTTAAATGGTCCTCAGATTCAGACATCTCAAGTGAAGAATTTTGAGGTGACTTCAGAAGGAGAAATTCTAGTAAAAAATAAAAGAGATATTTCTTGACCGTAAATCCAAGAGCCACAGGGAATTAACTTTTAGTAAAACCTGGATAGGAACAAGTTTAATCTCTCTCTGGGTTCAGGTGAATTGTGTTTCAAGTTCAACTCTTCAAGGAACTTTTAATAATGTCAAACTATTAAGTATGTATGTATGAGATTGGATAAATTAAGTCTTTCCTCACCTTTTAGAAAACTAATTGTGAGAAGGTTATTGTAGTCATGAAATATTTTGACTGTTTTGTGGCACTAAGACAGAAATAAAAAAAGAATTAAAGGCATAGCAGGTCTTTTATTCATTCCTGTATAAGAAAGAGTATTCTCTGATTACGTGCTTTTTCAAATACAGCTTGATGGTGATTTCCATAATCAAAAGGTATTACTGTACTCTGCTTTTTATTTTGGTGCAAAAACTGTTAAGCTCAATGTTTGTGCCTGCCAGGATTCACAGAGGGTCCCAAGATCTGTTTTCTAGAGGATAAACTGGAATTTGGACCAAGCAATCCGGTGAATGCCATAATGTTTCACATTGTCTCTGTACACAGCTGTCTTTTTGGTTAAGTTTGAGATTCACAGCTTAGAGAGTAGAAGGATCACAAGACAATGGGAGCAGGCAGAATGGGGATGCTGGAAAAATTGTCCTGGCTTGTCATTTAAATCTTTTGTTGCCGTATGCCTATTTGTTAAAGCAAATTTGCAGAAGATCGTATTTATGAAAGCAAATAGTTCTGGCAGAGATTGGTGTATGTTGATAATTGATGTAGTTGTTAACCTTTGGATTTTCATCACCCACAGAGTTATTAATTTGTTGTAGTCGGTAGTATTGATGACCATTAAGAATTCAGCATGGGGTGGTTTCCTCTTCCTACTTCTTTGTTCTCTTCCTTACAGGTAAAGTGCATGGTGACGCGAGGGAAGTATTTTGCCCTCCATCTATGATTACCTGATGACTCATCAATTTAACCAAAAGAAAAATCAAAAGCTAGAAAAAATAAGAGCTAGCGATTTTACATATAATGTGTTATTAATTTAACAACTTTATTTAAAATTAGGCAAATGTTGGGAATCTATGTTTTGAATGGAAAAAAACAATAACAGTGTCTTGTATTTGTTTCCTGCTTTAAGCAATATATCCATATACCTGCCCTCGTTCGATTCTTAGATACCCTGGACATTGAGAATGTAGAGAGATCATCTTCACTTAATTGAGAATGCCTCCTAGTACAGAGAGTTTAAATTTAATGACTGGCTTAGTGTGGCAAGTTCTGGGGGCAGCATGGAACTCCTATAGGACTCTCAGACTCATGCAGCTATTAATTCAGTTCAGTTCCCAGAACATGTATGAACTGCCAATCACAGACCAGTTGTGGAGCTTGGCTTAGACTGTAACTCATTATTATAGCTTTACCAGTTACGGCAATGTAATTTGAGTGGTTGTCATTTATTGTTTTCCCGCTTGGAAAATGTTTCTTTAAACTGATGTTAACACAAAATTCTCCATTTTGTAAATATACAGATAATTGTGCACAAACTAAAAATGCCAGTAGTCTTGAAGGTTAATTATCTACTTGGTGTGTATCTTTGTTCCCAGATAAATGTTTTTCTTACATCTCATCTGCATCTTTCCCTTCTGGCTATAACCTTGCCTTGTTGTGTACCTGTTACAATGTTGAGAGTAAATGAAGCATTTGACCCATTATGTAGCTTTTACCTCAGGGTATTTGTTGATTCATCCATCTTTCTTTTAGGAGTCTGTTTGTGACCATTAAAATCCTTTCTTAGAAATGGCTAGGATCACTCCTACCTTTCTGTTTCAACTGCTTCCACTGTAACTTGGCACCAGGTTCGGGGAGCCCTGGACTACGATTCTTAGTATTTACAGCAGGGTCCGCAAGCATAGCTGTATTGCAGAAATCACCTGGGAAGGCTTGTTTAAAATGTGAATTTCTAGTCTTCTCTTTGACTGCTTCCCAACCTCTCCAATGTAGTTGGTCTGGGGCAGGACCCTGGAATCTGCATTTTAACACTCTTAGAAATTTTAATATATTTGTTTAAAAAGGGTATTGGTATTAAAACATGATTGTTGCAAATCAGGAAGTGGAAATATTCTTTTGACTAGAAGTTCTTGAGGGAATTCTGCAATTTCCAACCTGTAAGGAATGATTCTGAACTTTCCCTCCTCCTAACCTGGTTTAGTGTCTTTGTCATTAGTCAGACCACACTTGTGTCATTGGAGATGGCTCTGTTTGTTTGTGCTCTTATACCAGTGACATACGATATTAAAAGACCAAATGAGATAGTGTCAGTGAAATATCAATGCACAATTAACTAAGGACATCGCTGTTGCTCTAGATTTGTTAGTTTGATCTGGAAAGTGAAACTTACAATGTGAACAGCAGCATTTTCTGGTGACATAACACAGACACCGAACACTTAGCACACAATTTAATTTGTTCACACTTACTGACTCACATGTTGCATGGAGCGAACGCAATAGCGGCCGTACACACATCAGCATTAGCATTCAACAACAACACAAAGTAATCGCTTCCAGGTCTTAGCCAGGTCCACTGACAAGTCCAGTGACCTTACATCAGGTATTTTGTGTGTCTTACCAGACATCGTGCCAGAGTTCTTTGCAGGAGAGGACACTGACCCACTGAGGCCTTGGTGTCCCTATCTCTTGGGCATCAACTATTTCTTAAATTTTACCACCTCATTCATTCTATTCTGCAATGGTACTTAGCTGATTTGTGGTCTGATCTGGTGAATATTTCAAAGAACTTGACTTTTTGGAATATGAAGCTATGTCCATGGGTAACAGGAAACTGACTGTCTTTACCTTGTCCCTAAAGAAAGCAGAATAAGGGGAAGAAATATAAAACTTGTTAGTAGCTTTTATATAAAATGTTTAGTTTTTTCCACATCACCAACCACTGCTTAAAATGTTAAAACTTCATTTTAAATATATCATAATATTTTCTTTTTGTTTATTTGCTCAATGACAATTCTAGACTATATGTTGAAATTGGCCTTTTAACTAAGTCCAACAAAGAGCGTTGATAAAACTAAAATTTGAAAATATTGAGAAAGGCTCTGTATGCCTGAGAATTATTAACTTGATATTTAAAGCTGAAGAATATCATGCTGTCTCAGGCAAAAGGTCTTTTTCCATCCAAGCTCTTTGGTTGAAAAGAAGCATGAATTTGAGGCAATTATTTTATAATCCAGATCAATCTGCAGTTATGGACTTGGAAGCAACTGAATATCCATCACAACTGAACAATAAAAGGGAGAGAACATCAACAGTAATAACCCAGTTATGTGAAAATTATCTTTTCATTTTGCCCATTTTCCCTTTTCCCTCTAGCAGTGTTATGTAGAATTTTGACATAAACCAGGATAAACTGCTCGCAGGAATAAGCCTAAAGAATAGTGTTTAAACTTATTGCCCCTTCTCCAATTTTGTCCTCTCTCTCTCTTTCATTAGATGAGGACATAATTTCAGTGAATGGTGTCTAGTAGCCTGCGTCTAGGGGTACACACCTGCTCCCTCCCTTGGCAGGGAGGCCAGTGGTTCCACTTACTGGGATCAATAAAATAATACCTGCTTGTACTTAGCACTCACTTGGCTGCCTCATTTATCTTCACAAAAGCAATAAGGTAACTGCTATTGCGGTTCCCTCTTTACAGAAGAGTGAACTGGCTCAGGACAGGCCGTGACTTTTCCAAGGCCCTGTTGTTGGTGAACGATGGAACTGGAGTTTTAGCCACGCGAGTCCATGAGCCACCTTCATAACTGCTTTGTTATCGGAACAAAGAGAGTGAATTTATTTTAATGTGTCTGGTTTCTCCTACGAGTAAAATAATCAGTGAAATAAATAAAATAGCACTTGTAATTTTAAGGGTCTCTGTGAACTCTTTCTCCGAATCTTTTTGGCAGCCTGAGGTTATATTTTTCTTAAAGGTAGGAGGAAAAGAGGTTGCGTTCCTATGTCAAAACTGAGAAAAAAATAAAACCCTACCTCTAGTTTCAGGAGAGCACTAGTTCTTAGAAATATTGACATTGGAATTATTCTAGAAAATACTTCCTTGATATAATAGTGGAGTTCACAAGCAAATTAGGTATGATTGTTCAACAAAGCCAGTTCAAACAAACTGGTCTCCACAAACCTTTGTAAATTCTTTGAAAGCTATTAGAAAGTGAATCAATCTACCAAAAATTTCAAAGAATAATGTAATGACATGTCATTTTACTAGTTAAACCTTGAGAAACTAAAAGACAAAAAAAATCTTTAAGAAATGTGTAATTCCTACTCAACAGTCCTCTATCTACCAGATTTTATGCCAACCCTGCTGTTGATTTTCATTCATTACTTACTTTCTTGTTTTAACATAATCCTAAAATTGGCTCAATCGTTCAAATTAAAGTAGATTCCAAATTAGAAATGGATTGTGTTCCAATAGTGTATTTGTTGGCAGCTTGGAAGTTGGAAAATGTTTTGCTTCAGAGAAATAATGCATCATAAACATTGGGTAGGTTCCCAAACTATTATAGAAAATATATACACCAAAATGGGAAAATGGATACTACTATATTTCTCAATTAGCATTGTAGGTCTGTGAGAAAGTAATGGTTTAAGTGTGCAAAAATATAACATTGTAAAATAGGCACTGTACAACTTCAAACTGTGTAGACACAAGCCTGGAAAGATGTCCATTAAAATCTAAATGATGGTTGTTCCTGTGCAGGAAAATTTTTCTTTGCATACTTTTCGTTTGTATACATTTTAATTTGAATATTGCATTTATATTTTATAACTTTTTAACAAAAATTACATTTTGTGCTTTTATGTAACTATAATTATATATGTATCTATGTTTGTATGTATAAATTTTTTTAGACAAGGGCACATTTCTGCTTTCCTTCTCTCTTTGAAAACACAAAGCCACTGGAGCATAATAGTTGGGTGCATATTTCTTGTTTCTATATCCCACAGCTGCTCCATCAACAAATCCTGTTGGCTCCACCTTCCAAAACTATTCAGAAAGTACATCCACTGTATCAGCCCTTGGCCAAGATATGATCACCTCTTGCCCATATTACTTTTTTTAGCCTTCACCCTGGTCTCCTTGTTTTCTGTATTGTTTTTATATAGTCTTTTTAAAATTAGGACTACTGATATGATTTTTTTAATGATAGAAGTATGTTTCTCATTCCAATTCACTTGGAATAAATACAGAATCATTGGAGGGAAGTGGAAGTCCACCTGGGCACTTTCCTTCGTTTCTCTCTCCTTTCTCTCTTTCTCACTCCACTGCATTCACACCTGTCTCCTCGCCCTTCCTCAAACACCAGTCAGGAGCCTGCCCAGCTATCTTGCATTCTTTGTTCTCAAGGCCTAGAATGTGCCTCTCCTGTCCTCCACCCAAAATCCTCAGAATCCCCTCTCTTCTTTACTCAAATGAAGAGGTATTTTCTGGCCATGATATAAAAATTTCAACAATGTGTTTTCCTTATAACCTAATAGACACTTCATGCATTTTCATGTTTATTGTCTTGTTACAAAGGAAAAGGCCCCATATAGGTAGGGATTTTTGACAGTTTTGTGTCCTACGGTATCTTCCATGCTTAGAATCCTGCCCAGCACACGGTGTGTCTTCAGGATGCATTTGCTGAATGAATGAATGCATGTAATGAATGCATAAAAAATAAACGCAAAGAATAGAAACAAAACTCATAATAACACTTGCTCCTCAGGAGAACTGGGGAAGAAAGGTATAGACCCTCTCTCTTTATTAGTAACATTTTTTTCTTTTGTATATAAAAATGTCTGAAGGAAATATGACAAAATTCTTACAGACGAATGCATTGGTATTTGTGACATCAGTTTCTGAATATTTCTGTATTTTGAAATTTTTCATAAAAGCAGCTTTATTAGATTTCCCATAGTTACTTGATAAAGCACACACTCTGAGCTCATGAAAGGTCTTTTATGTTGGATCTTGGTCACCCTTCTATCCTCATTCACTTCATTCCCCACAGTTATAATTTCCTCTATCTTCCTGTTATTTTTTCTCTACCTGGGATGACCTTTCCATTTTTCTTTGCCTGGCTAAATCCACCTGTCTGCATGGCTCCAGTTACTCTCTTTGCTCCCGTAATGGAACTTCCCATAAGTGAAATGCAATTTTCATCCTGCCTTGTAAAATTCAAATAAAGCTTGCTCCGCCTCTGTACCACATATCCTGCGGGAAGTCCCATGCTGTTTTCAACACTTATGAGAATTCCCACAGGCCTATTACTAATGATTATTTATTGATTTGCCTTTCTGTCATTGTTAGATTAGATGACTCCCTTATTCTCCCTTCAACCATATTTATTCCATTTTCTCCTCCTGTTGATAAGCTAATCATGAAATTCAGGCCCATTTTTCTTTATTCTCATCCTCCTCCTCTCAGGAGACAAATGTGTACAGACTCTTGATAAGGACTCAGGGCCAAAGTAGGGGTTGTAAAATAAGAATACGGAGTCTGGGGGAGGGATGTCAAGATCGAGTAGTTTAGAGCAGATAAATCTGGCTTGATGGTAACACTCTTGTTCCAAAAGAGCCCTTGGCTCTACCCACTACAGGGGCCACGGGCCGGCCAGCGTCCGTCTCTCACTCCAAGCCTGCCTCGCCAGTGTTTTCTCAATCTCTCCTGCTCTCAGGCCACTCCTAACTCTCTAAATGCCAACTCACATGTTTTTTATTGCATTTAGTTTTCTCTTTGACTCTTGGCCATTTTGGGTTATGCCGAAAGGGCCCTTTTTATTCCCCGCAAAGCCCCTTGAGGCACTTTCCTCCAAAAGAACAGTTCTCTCTCCAGGAGGACTCCCCTGTTCAGCTCCTAGAGTTACTGTCTTCTCCCCCAGACACACGTTATTGTAGAGTCAGTTTATGTGTGTCCCTGTCAGCCCGTGAAAGTTTCAAGCACGTTTTATTTTTGCTGACTCTCGTATCACTAGTTCCTAGCTCAGAGAACGATCTGATGAGTAAGTGAAGACGGTTTTCCGCTTACTAGAGCCATTTTGAGAGTGCCATTTGACTTCAAATAGATGTGTTCCTTTCTATTCCTGAAATGGATATAAGTGAGATGGAAGTTATTTTGGCCCAATAGCTCACTGGTTGTGTTTCCTCCGGTAGATATGATCTTGCCCATCGAGGACAATGCCTCTGTAGCCGTCACAGCATATGGAGCTGTAAGCTAGCTTAGAGCAGACTGGACCTTACCTGAAACCAAGAACGGACTCAGAAAAGGCTCTGCGGCTGCAACTCTTGCTGGTAAAAGAATCTTCTGCAAATATGTTTTCGTCATTGTCTTTCTTCTCGATTGATGAACATGCCACTGATTGAACTGTAGCCTGAGCTTTTATATTTCTACTACTTGGATGTATTTTCCCAGTTTTCCAGGGATCATTTGCAGCAATTGAATGGATTGGTGAGGAAATGGAATAGCGTCTAACAATCATGACATTGCCTGTATAGGAGACACAAAAGTTTAAGTTTAAAAATCCTATATTTAATGATACCCAGAAATGGAAAATTGTATTGATAGTACTTTATTGCAACTAACTACACAAAATTATTATTTTAATTTTTTTTGAATAAAAGACTTCATTGGCTTATTTTACAAATAATTGACTCAGCTTTTTAAGAGCTGGGGACGTAGTAGTGAACAACACAAAATTCTTGCCTGCATAGGGTTTTCCATCTTGTGCGGCAAGCAGACAATTGACAAACAATAAAATTCACATTGTGATAGATTCTAGAAAGACAAATGAGGCTGACAACAGCAAGGAGATAGAGACAGAGGAGGGAGTGGGTCTGAAGGCTCTTTAAATGTGTGGTCAGGAAAGAACTTTCTGGGAACACAGCACTTGAACACCGATGCTAATTCCGATGGCTTTCTCACTCCTGAGTCTCAAGATCCCGCCCATCCACCGTCCCTCAGCACCTGAGTGGCTGCAGATCATTGGTCTGGCTGCTACTAGCTGCCCAGTAATTGTGTGCCTTGGCTTTAGTTGGGAGAGTCATTGTAGGGAACCCTGCTGAATGAGAGATGCAAGCAAAATAGACACATGGAAGGAAGCAAAAATGTCTTCTGTGAAAAACTGGAGTGTTGCTGGAGAGAAGGGGAGATTTGTGGTCTTACTTTCTGGAGGTTTCCAATTCAATTTCTGTCCATAGGGTCTTCCAGTAAGCTCTTTTCTTGAGGTAAATCACATCTTTTAGAACGGTTCCTTGTAACTACAGCACACTGATTAAAAGAGCTTCATTTCAGGGAGCCTTGGTTTGTCTGGGTCTCAGCTCTAATACTGCACTCAATGACCTCATGGCCTGCCATTCAACACCTACTTAGACATGTAGTTATTACCCCCGAGGCTAATCACACTGACCTCATATTTTGGTTTTCTTACCCTGTTTTTTTCCTCCCCTGTGAGATGGCTTTAGTAATGCTTAGTTGTCTTTAACTTCATTCAAAACAACTTTGTTAGATTGTATTGTGACAGCTGTCAGGTCAGTGTGCACTTAAAAAAAATATAAAAATTGGTAAATGGTTGTGCAGTCATTTTAATATTGAAGATGGAAGAAAATAAGTCACATTTCTAGTGTATTATGCTTTATTATTTAAAGAAAGATAAAATGCAACTGAAATGCAAAAAAAAAAAAAAAATTGTGCAGTGTATGGAGAAGGCCCTGTGACTGACAGAATGTATCAAAAGTGGTTTGTGAAGTTTCATGCTGGAGATTTTTTGCTGGACGGTGCTCCATGGTTGGGTAGACCAGCTGAAGCTGATAATGATCAAATAGAGACATTTGAGAACAACAAACATTATATCATGTGGGAGGTAGCCAACATACTCAAAGTGTTCAAATCAATAGAGTTTTTGGTGAAAATGAAAAAAATGGGGCGTTTATCTTTCAGAAAAAAATTGAATGGACTTTTTGGTCAACACAATAAATGTTTTCAAGTCTTGATCATCTCTCGTCATAGCTTTGCCATTAACTAACATAGAAGTATATGGAAGCCCTGCCCTGTGTTTAGGTTTTGAGGGTACCAAAAGCACAGCTATATTTTATTTCTGTTTGATGTCCATGTCTGCAGAACACAGACAGCTAGTTATTATGGCCTTTGAAAAAGCAGAGGATGCCCTGGCTTTTTACAGTTTGGAAGAGCAGAAGGTAGCATTTTAGGAAGGAGTCTGGGGAAAGTTTAAGTTGAAATCTATCTGAAGTGATTTACTGCAAATACTGTGCATAAACTCTCTTGAAATACTTCCTTTAGCTATGATATATAGCTCCTAAAATTATCTAAAAATAGGCTTATGACTGTTGACAAATGTAAATGTTTCTGTTTAAAAGGATTATAAAACAATCTCTTTATACCAAGTGGTAAAAAGGCACAGCAGAGGAAATTATGCCAATGATAGTAAAGTTATGTTTATTCTTATTTGAGACTTAGACTCCAGCTTGATTGTTCAGCAAATAGGCTCTTTGCTTACCTCCCTGGGTCACAATAGTCTGTGTCCTTTAGTTTCTAATAAATAAAAGGGAAAATATATTGAACACATCATCATGGGGTCATTAGCACAGTTTTAAAATTCATTGCCAAGTGCAGTTTATTTGCAACAAAAGATAGGAGTATATTGAAGAGATTCAGAGGTCCAGCAATGCTAGGGGTTCCCCGTAAAGTGACTTTCTTTTATCTTCCTTGTAGCAAATTACCTCTTTACTAATAGACCCAAAGTAAGGTTGCCCAGAGCAGGAGGGGTGAGAGAAACATCTCTGAAGGTCCTGGTTGAATTTCATACCTACCAAATGCTGAAACACAATTGCAGATGTTTCCATGATAATTTATCCAACAGAGATTCATTCTGAGCAGGGCCAATGTATTCTCAAATACACACACACACACACACACACACACACACACACGTAGTGATATAGATCATAGATATACCAATACATGTGATGCTATATAGATATACAGATATATATCTGTATTCTCAAACATATATCTATATATATTTTATATATTTATAAAGACACCAAACAGTTGTGTCCCTGGGCTGTGGCACAGACCTGTGCCCTCAGCTGAATGATGGGGAAGCAGGATTCTCCACTCATTAAAGCTCATTTTTTCTCACTACACACATCACAGACCAAGAGAAGACCTTTTTGGTTCCAAATGACTTGCTTCCAGGTCCTCTTTAATTGTTCCCTTTCTTAAAGTGAGACTTACACTTATGATCTCACATCGTTCCTTCTCAAGGAATAGGTTTATATTTTCCTGTTTCAAAAGAGAATTGGACATGCTGTATGATCCCTCTGGGTCTACATCCTCAATTGTAAAACAAGGGGATGATCTCTGAAGTTCTTTTCCAGTATCGGATTTTTGTGATTCAGTTGCAAGTATGAATTTTGATTAACGTTGTAAATATCTTATTAAAACTGCAATAAAAAACTTATACTCGAGTCAAACAATACTTTTCTGACATAGTTAATGGTATTAAGACAACTGCTATCAAGGAACTGATGTTGAGTCTCTTGCTATTTCATTTACTACTGCGAACAGCTCTATGGATAGATTCCATTACTGTCTCTATTTTACAGTGAGGAGAGTGATCATAAAAGCATGTTACATTAATAGAATCACAGAATTTTAGTTGGAATGGGCCTTGGAGAGCATCTATTCCAACTCATTGATTTTTGTGTGAGGATGCTACAATCAGGAATTCTATATGGTCGTCATGCTTAGGCCAGCGTTGTTTTCTACTGTGTCACCTAATTTCCTCTTTCCTTAATAGTCCCAAAGTAAGGTTGCCCATAACCCATCCCATATAAGACACAGGTAAACATCATTTAAAGTAACTAAACTGGGCTTCCAAGCACAGACTTCAATCATATTTCTTTCTGTGTTTGATCCATGCCAACAGGTAAGCATCCCCAAAATTTACCAAATGCTTTTTGCCTGTCCCTTTCAAACATAATGCTACTGTTCTTATTGGAAGATATCATCCAAATGCTGAAGAAATGTTATATTAATTGCCTTATTAATATCCTAACCTCCTCTCAGCTTCATGCCATGCTCTGTTCTTTGAACAGTATACTACTTATTTTAGAATAACACAAGATACATGAAGACCCAGGATAAACATCATAGAAAACAGGTGTGAAGGAGTGCTGTTTACCTTTGGAGTAAGGCAGCGGTTTCCAGTTGGACATTTTGTCCTCCAGGTGGCATTCAGAATGTCTGAAGGCACTTTGGATGGTCATCATTGGAGAGGGGAGGCAAGTACTACTGGCATCTAGTGCTTGCAAGCCAGGAAAATGGCTAAACATCCTACCATGTCCAAGACAGACCCCTATGATACAGAATTACTCAGCCAAAAGTCAAGAATTCAGAGGTTATGAAGCCCTGGAGTAGGGAGATATTATAAATGTCCATTCCCCACCCCCCCCACCAGGAGAAGTTCAAACCTCCTCATGGGTTATGCTTTCAATTTTATTAAATAACCAGCAGACAGAACTACTCAGATCCAAACCTGTACTTGACAAAAAAGGGAAAAGACCCTGATTTAGATCTGTTTCCAGCTTTGAAACATAGGGTCTCATCCAAGAGAGAGGCTTCTCTAACAAAGAGGAGCAGCTGGTGAGTATGACATGTTTCATTGCCAAGTTGTTCAGAACCTCTAAACGGTATCGCCTGAAGCCTTTGGCAGATGATATTAAGAGAGCTTTGAGTATTTAATTACGTATATCAATTTTATTTGAATATGCTGTGTGTAGGCAAGCACTGACAATTTCAATACAGGATGTATTTTTTTGCTCAGCTGATTCCTGACCTCATGTACAGTCTTCACAGTCAAAATTATTCCCAGTAAAAGGTGAGAGATTGGATTTTTAGAGTATGTTAACGTGGACTCTGCATCTTGAAGTCTTTAACTTGTATAGTAGGTTGAATTATGTATACCGTACATCCATTCAGGACAGTAAAGTTCTTTGTGAAACATGGATAAGCTACAATATCTGCCTTTTGTTGTGTATTTGTCAGGTGCTATACTAAGCACTTGGTCTATTATTGTAGCTAATCCTCACAACCACATGGGATGGGTACTATAACTTTTTTTATATTTTATTTTTAAATTACAATTCACAGTCAATATTATTTTATGTTAGTTTCAAGTATACAGTGTAGTGATTAGATAGTTATATAATTTATGAGGTGATTCCCCTAATAATTCAAGTACTTACCTGGCACCATATATAGTGATTACAATATTATTGAATATATTCCCAGAGTTGTACTTTACATCCCTGTGGCTATTTTCTAACTACAAATTTGTGTTTTTTAATCCCCTCAGCTTTTTCATGCAGCCCCCCAATGCCATTCCCTTCTGGCCACCATCAGTCTGTTCTCTGTATTTATGAGTCTGTTTCTGTTTTGTTGGTTCATTTATTTTGTTCTGTAGATTCCACATATAAGTAGAATCATATGATATTTGTCTTCTCTGTCTGGTTTATTTCACTCAGAGTAGTACCCTCTAGGTCCACCCATGTTGTTGCAAATTGTAAGATTTCATTCTTTTTAATTGGCCAAGTAATATTGCGTTGTATATATGTACCACAACTTTTTTATCCACTGGTCTATTGATGAGCACTTGGTTGCTTTCATATCTTGACTATTGTAAATATCACTGCGATGACCATAAGGGTGCATATATGTTTCTGAATTAGTATTTTGGGGTTTTTAAGATACACGATACCCAGAAGTGGAATTGCTGGGATATAAGGTCACTTTTTAAAAAAATTTCTGAGGAACCTCCATACTGACTTTCTAGCAACAGTACACAGGCTTCCCTTTCCTCCACATTCTCACCAATACATGTTTGTTGATTTATTCGTACTATAACATTTTCAAATGAAATGTTATAGTTGACAAATGAAGGAAATAAAGGTTAAAGATGAGTCAAGAGGCAAATGAGTGACCAATCATTGGCATCTGTATTTCTGTGACTCTGATGTTCATACACTTAATTATTGTGCAGTGTCATTTGAGCTTCATAAGTGAGCATGCCGCTTGACATATACCCATCTGGTGTTCAATTATATATCATTTAAATGTTTGAAGTCCAAAAACACATTGTTGGTAATGTGACTGATCTTCACAAACCTGTCTTTCTTCTTTCCCGAAATATATGGAAATAGTTTTAATGTTGCCAAAATATGTTGTTTAGCTATGCGAAAGAAATGTTTGCCTTAGGGTTTAAAGTTCATCTAACAATAGAAAAAGAAAGAAACTTGCTACTGTTAACACCAAAGGATGCAGTTACATGAGAGGCACAATAAACCTAACGTTTAGGAGATATTTGCAAACATGGGCACAGCCTAAAAGGTCTATAGACTTTCTTTACCTTGGTTTTCATGCATATCTGGTGCAGCATCAGTGGAAATATCACCATGAAGAGTTGCTGGAGATTGTCTGGGTGCTTTTCCTAGGTTGCCAAGGTCTGTGACTTCCTCTTCCCCTTCATCTCCTGATTGTACCTCTGAGCCTGGGGTTCTCTGATTGCTTGACGTCAGCTTCATCCGGAGGGCCTGATTCTCCTTCTCCAGCTTGTTGATCTTGGCCCGCATTTCCTGGATGACCCTCATGAGCTGGACGTTAGCGTCCATCGCCTCTTCTCTAGCTGCTCTGGTGTGCAGTTCTGGGGAGACGGGTCTACTTGTGCTCATAAGCTCCATTCACAGTCTCCTCAGTGGGACTGGTTCATCCGTCCACACACCTTCCTGAACAATAGATGTCATTCCTCCCTGTGCCATCTTTCAGCACCTGGGGAGTTAGGCTGTCAAGGGAGGTAAAGGATTTCCATGACTTATTCATTCTAGGTTTTGTTTTTCAGAACAGAGCTTTTCTTTGTATTTTACATTTCATGTCAATCCACAGTTCTAGAATATTGCTCTGTGTCTGAAGAGAAAAGAATGCTCCAAAGTGTCCAGTGAGAAGCAGTTTCTGGTTTCTGTCATGAACTCACATCCTAACCGCCACTCAGTGTTTTTCTCTGTTGTTCTTTCTGGGATCGAATGTTTCATAGAATCACCAACCGTCACAAGTACACAAGTCCATCAAAACTGGCACATAAGAATTACGCCTTGCCTTCTTTGTAACATGTCATAATTTTGTACTTTTTGGGTAAATTATTAATGTTGACACTTCTTGGCTAAGGGTAACAGTAATCATGGGAGGGGGTTCCTAAAAATTGCAGTGAGATTATTTAAATATATTAGATATTATTTATATATAATATATTATTATTTATTATATTTATTAAATATATTATTTATATATAATACATAATTATAATAATATATTATTATAATTATACTTAAACCCCTCAAGATAAGATTAAAGATCATGTAATTACTTTTCAGCAGGTTTCTATCTTATAAGCAGTTTTGCTATTATTTGGGGGACTGGAAGAGATTAACCAAAGAACATATGTGCATATAGGCACAGCCCTTGGACGCAGGCAACAATGTGGGGAAGGCCAGGGTGGGGCTGGGTGGAAGCGAAGAAGGGGGGAAAATGGGGGACATCTATAATAATGTCAAGAATAAAAAAATTTTTTTAAAAAGTGTTTGCTTCAACACAAGCTGCCCAGGGATACTTTGAGAATGTAAGAAGATACAGGTTTAATCTTGAAAGACAAAGATATGAAATAGTTAACAGCTTTCATTATCTATTTCCTGAAGAGGTTTCTTTACTTGGGAAAGGGAACTACAAATATTGAATAGTATATGCTCTGATAGCAGTATCTGTTTGGAAATTCAAGTAATCTTTATCTAATAAATACTCTTTTGCAAGAGGGTAAGATGATTAGAAATTTTTTCATGGTGATACTTTAAACTGCACACTCATTTCTTGCTGTTTTCTAGGTATTTTGATGATTTTGCCTATCTCAATAAATATTTGTTGCTTCATTAAGGAAGGCTGCAGGTAGTAGGAATGATTGGAGAAAGTATTACTCCATTTTTAGTCATACAGATTTATTTTACATATTTAAATTTTAGGATGTGCTTGCCAAAAAGTTAGTCTAAAAATAAAGAGGTTGTTTTGATATACAGTTGACCTTTGAACAACACTGGTTTGAATTGTATGGGTCCACTTATACATGGATTTTTCCTCATGAATGCCTGTATTGTTCTCTAACCACAGTTTGGAGCCCATGGGTGTAAGGGCCAACTATATCCATTGGTCTAGCCCATTTTACTTGAGTTCCCACAGATTTTGGTGTCCACAGAGGCTCTTGGAGCCAATCTCTCATGGATACTGAGGGACAGCTTAAGTCTTGGGGGAGTCAAATATTATGCATGGATTTTCAACTGTGTGTGGGTTGATGCCCTTAATGTCCCCATTGTTCAAGGATCAACTGTACTACTTCTCTTTGTGTTTAAATGAATTTCAGTAAACAAAGTGGTTATGGAAATATGAAATATGGAATAAGATGAATCTTATAGGCTATCCAGTCTAACCACTTATCAGATGTTCAAGTATTTTTCACAACATCTCTGTAATGGACTATTTACCCTGTATTTGAACATTTCTCCTGTAGGAGGGTGTCCTTCCTACCAAGGTATTGTACTTGCTTTTTAATTAAAATTATTTACATTGGCCAAAAATTGGCCTCTATGTAGTTTATTCCTAGTGCATCTCTTTGGAGAAGAGAAGCACACCTCTAATTCCTGTTTTGATGAAAATTTTTATTTGATCATGTTCTAATGAGTGTCTACTCTCCAGAATAAACATCCCCAATTCAACTGCTCATGATCAAATGTGGGTTCAAGGACTTTGAGTTCATCATGGCCACTCTCATTTGAACATGTTTCCATTTGTCAATAGGTCTCTTGAATTAAGATATCCAGGTCCAAATGCATTCTCTTGAAGGTATCCAACTAGCCCAGAGTATACTGCCATATCTTTGGTAAAGTGTTTTGTGGGAAATATCCCCCGAAAGTGGGTAGTAGAGATCACTCTTGGAATTGTATTCAGTCAACAAAGAAAGAAATAAAAATAGCTTGTATAACTTGGAAATAGCAAGATATCATTATTTATAGACAATTTGATTATATATCTAGAAAGCCCAAGGAAATGAATCAAAAATGCTATTTTGTAATCTACTTTATGTTAAAAAAATAAACATTTAAAAACCAGTAGTTTTCCAAAATGCTACCAATAACACTATAGAAAAAAAAAAACTGAAAAATATTCTACTGCTAATAGGCCCCCATAGAGAAGTAAACTCAGGAATTATTTTCTTTAAGTTTTGAAGGCTTTAGTGAAGACAATCTAGCATTTTACTAAGATAGAAAACTTAAGAAAAGAAAAACTGTGCTCCTGAGAACTGTCTATTTTAAAGAAATAGGATAGTTTTATAAACCTACAAATATTGAGTGAAAAATTAGTATGTCCAACTACATATAGAATAAAATAAAAACCATGTGAAAAGAATTAGAAAGAAATACCTCTAAAAGAAAACAAGTTCTGCCACTGTGTGATAAGATTTTGGGAAATTTTTATTTACTTCTGTATGGTATCTGAATTTTAAAAATTCTATAGTTACACAAAAGTCTTCCATAATGGAAAAGTTAAAAAATGAAAATAATGTTGATGTAAAAGAAATTTATTAGTATGAACCAACATTATATTTTCTTGGGACTTTTTTTGACTTTTGTTTTTTTATTTTATGTTTTTATTTAATAATTTTTATTGTATTTTTTTCATTACCATTTAGTCCTCATACCCCACCCCACTCCCCAGCAATCACCACATTGTTTTGGGGGAGTCAAATGAACCCTTTTTTCTTTTTGCTCAATCCCTCCACCCCTACCCTCTGCCCCACTAGCTGTCATCTGCTCTCCATCTATGAATTTGTCTCTATTTTGCTTGTTAGTTGGTTGAGTTAGTTTGCTCATTAGATTTCACATATGAGTGGAATCATATGGTATTTGTCTTTCTCTGACTGGCTTATTTCACTTAGCATAGTATTCTCCATGTCCATCCATATTGTCAAAAAGGGCAAAATTTTCTTCTTTTTTTATGGCTAACTAGAATTTCAGTGTGTAAATGTCTCATAGTTGTTTTTTCAACTCATCTATTGATGGACACTTGGGCTGCTTCCAAATCTTGGCAATTATAAATAATGCTGCGATGAACATAGGAGTGTTTATGTTTTTCTGACTTTGTGTTTTGGGTTCCTTCATACATATTTTCAGAAGTGGGACCATTGGGTCAAAAGGCAGATCCATTTTTAATTTTTTGAGGTATCTCCACACTGCTCTCCACAGTGGTTGCACCAGTCTGCATTCCCACCAACAGTACAGAAGGGTTCCCCTTTCACTACATTCTCACCAGCATTTATTGTTTATTGATTTATTGATGATATCCATTCTGATGTGTGTGAGATGATATCTCATCATGGTTTTAATTTGCATTTCTCTGATGATTAGTGACATTGTGCATCTTTTCATGTGTATTGGCCATCTGTATGTCCTCTTTGGAGAAATGTCTATTCCGGTCCTTTGCCCATTTTTTAATCGGGTTGTTTGTTTTTTTGGTGTTGAGTTTTGTAAGTTCTTTATAAATTTTGGATATTAATCCCTTATCAGATGTATCAGTGAATATGTTCTCCCATTCTGTAGGCTGTCTTTTTATTTTGTTGATGTTTTCCTTTGCTGTGCAAAAACTATTTTAGTTTGATGTAATCCCATTTGTTTATTTTTTCCTCTTGTTTTTCTTGCTTGGGGAGTTATATCTGATAAGAATCACCACAAGCAATGTCTGAGATTTTGCTGCCTTTGTTTTCTTTTATGGTTTTTATGATTTCAGGTCTAACATTTAAGTCTATAATCCATTTTGAATTTATTCCTGTGTGTGGTGTAAGAAAGTGGTTTCATTTTTCTGCATATATCTGTCCAATTTTCCCAACATCATTTATTGAATGAACAATGGGCTAAAGATACTTTCTGACTTTTGGTGAAGTGAAATGGCTAGTGAGGACTGGAATTTAATACCAAACTAGTTTTAGTCTTTAATAGTTGTCATAATAATTTTAAAACTTGATTTATGAGTGAAAATTGTTTAGAATTAGTAAATTTTTATATAAATGTCAGGATTGATAGTCCTATAATTATCTGTAATATATTTTAAAGGATGTAAATGTCTTATGCAATGGAATAGGCTGGACTCAGAGAGCCCTGTTTTGGCAACTGACTTGTTCAGTGGAGTGGACAACGTATTGGGTGGGATGGGAAAGAGGGAGAAGTGGTGAGTGGGGTTCATGGAGAACAATTCCAGTGGCGTACTCTTGGAAGTCCAGTCTGGCAAGCAGTTACAAAGTTTGAAGTTCATGGCAATACCTGACGGGTAATAATTCAGGCAAGAAACTGGGGGACGTAGTCTGAAGGATGATAGAACAGGTAGTTGTTGGCTTGTAAAAGAGCTGTGGCCATTGTCACCATGACTCTATGATGGAGCTTTGGGCCTTTATCTTGAATTTGTAAAATCAAGACTGTGGGCTCTTTCTCTAGAGCAAGCGTCTTTAGACCCTTCCGCGTCACCTGGGAGTGCTTGCTTAAAATGCAGGTTTTGGGCACAACCCTAGACCTATTGTGGACTC